ATCAAATGAATATCTGAAACCCTATCTATATAATCCATGAAAAGAAATGATGTTCTTTGCCATATCTGGGGAGTAGCAACAATTATTTAAATCCAACCCTAATCCATTACTCAACACTAAATAATAAACTCCGACTCCGGTCACAGGTGACAATCTTCTGTTTCCCATAATCAAGTTTATCTTCCCATGCTCCACCTCCCTACTTTTTCTTAGGCCCTACAATTCAGAACAAATGTGCAAACCACATCCTATATCAAGAATCCATTAAGTATCAAGTGATGAGTTATTAGATCTAATAGAATACATACTTGAAAAGGTGGGTTTTATTTTCCCATCCTTAATATCCTACAGATATTTAGGGCAGCTTCGTTTCCAGTGGCCCTTTTCTTGGCAATAAAAACACTCTGCTTCCTTAGGGTCAGAGGAAGGTTTCGCAGAAATTGCTTTGGTTCCACTAAAGGATGAACCATCATGGGGCTTTCCCTTTTGGTGGCTCTTGGAAGGAGCCTTCCTCTTCTTATCCTTCCCTTGACCAATTGCCAACACAGAAGCAGCCACAGTAGGGGCTGATGCAACGGATTTTTCCTTGAGGTTGCTCTCAGTAGTCCTCAGTAGTCCTTGAAGTTTACTCAAGGAGACCTCTTCCTTATTCATGTGGTAGGTCATTCTGAACTGGTTGTAGCAGGAAGGCAAGGAGTGGAGGATGATGTCGATAGCCAAATCCTCATCAAACTTAACATTAAGTTTGAGAAGACGATCAACATACCCTTGCATTTTCTTCAAATGAGAGGTTAGGGATTCTCCACTCCCCATCTTAGCGGTGATCATGTTAGTAACGATCTCATAGCACTCTTGCCTCGCACTTTGGTGGTACCTGTCCAGCAAATCTTGATGCATCTCATATGGATACATGTCCTCATAAGACTTTTGGAGTTTGAGGTTCATGGTGGCCAGCATGATGCAATGAACTTTCGTAGCATCACACTCGTGGGCCTCAAAGGCGGCCAACTCTTCAGAAGTAGCAACATCTGGGTTGATCTTTTCAAGTTTCTCATCGAGGACATATTCTTTATCCTTGTAGCGAGTGATCATACGAATGTATCTCATACACTCATTGAAATTCGACCCATCAAATGTCACCTTTTGACATAGGTTCATTAGCGAGAATGACCCAGAAGCGTTGTTGTCATTGTTAGCAGACATCTGAAAATAGAAAGAAACAAAGTTTGATAAGAAATGAATCCCCAATTAAACACCCAAATGAAAAATTAGAGCTAGGATCCAACAATATTATTCACAACTTAGAAAAGGGATGCCGTAATCTAATTGTAAATAATTTGAAGGTAAGTGAATGACGATTCACTAATTTCCACCATGAAAAATAAAAGGAAATTAAGTTTTAAATGTATTTGAAAACTCCTAGATTCTTTAGAGATTCATTGAACTTTTCAATGGCATGTTTAAATCTCGATATGCCCTTCAAGTTTGTGACTGGGATACCGAGGATCACAAACAAGGTGTGAATAACCATACGAATCAACATCGTGCTCTCAATGTCTCTATCACGTAATCAATGTACCGGTAAACCACACATACTCCATTGATCTATGACAAACATCGAGCCACCCTTCGCTACCAATGTCAATCCCAAATTAGTATGTCGGTTAACCACACACGCTCCACTAACGTTTGACAAGGGTACAAAGTGTAATTCCATGGAGTAGCATCATTTTTCACATTTTACCCTAAAGTAACTAAGATAGGGAATTTGTAAAAACATTGCAACTACTTTGTATCATTCATTATACTTTTAACGAGGAGAGGATTTCCCTATCCTACCCGTTCGGCTAACGACCCTCCACCAATCAAGGAAGCGTTGGGTAAGAGTGGATACCCATTAAACAACCATTTTATAGGCCATAACCTTATACCCCCCTTATAGATCGGCTTCGTGAATGAGGCCTATTAACGGTAAGACTATCACTTTAAGTTATACATATATATTAATTAATCTTGTAATAATATAATAGTATAGGGTTGAATTTTAAACTTGTAAAATTCTAAGGGTTTGAAATTTAAATCATTCAAAATTAAACTTTTAATAAAACTTTTAAATTTCAAAACTTGAGGGCAAGTTTTGAACTTTTCAAAACACAAAGGATCAAATACCAAATAGTATAAATTAAACAATTAATTTTTGTGATTATCTATATTTGACCTAATCCAATTTTATTCACAAGATAATTAAATTACCAAATAATTTAAACAATCAACATTTATCATATAAAGAAACTATTATTCAAATGATTTGAAATTATCTTTTGTTTTGGTAAGGATAATCATTTAAATACATTAAAATTCAGATTTTATCACAAAAAATGATTTTGGCATTTATCCTTTAGCAAAGCAGCAAGAAATCCCAAGTTATCCTCTGCCTGACTCCCGGACTCGCCGAGTCACTACCTGGACTCGCCGAGTCCAGCTATTGACTCACCGAGTCGGTTCGGGCAGAGGCCAGAAAAATGATTTTAAGCAAAAACTCAACAATTACATCACATACAATAGAAACCAATCAAGGCTCTGATACCATTGATGGATTTAATGCAAAAGAACATCCTATGTGTTCATGCAAAACCCTAAAGCTTGGATCTAGGCTTCTCTATTGTACATGCAATTCATCCAAGACTTGAAACCCTAGATATAGCATGCATAATTCGAAATTAACATAATAAGAACAGATCTAGATGATTACCTCTTTCAATTAGCTTGAAAGCTTTTGATTCTTCTTGGTTCTTGAGCTTAGAGTCATAAGTGTAACTCCTCTAATGGCTTACAAACACCACACAAGTAAGAAGGAAATTATGAGAGAGGAGAGAGGATGTTGATATCGGCCCTAGGGTTTCTCTTGGAATCAAGTGGCCGAAAATTGCAAGTAGGAGTCTCTATTTATACTGTAGGCTGCTAGGGTTTCAGGTAAAACCCTAATGGACAACTTAATCACCTAGCAGCCAATAGAACCTTCTGGAATAGGGCCTATGGATGAAAATATGATGGATCCCCATCATAATTTCGTTCCCCCTTTAATCTAATAGGTTTCCTAGCCCAAAAACTCAACTATCATACATTTGACAGTTTAAACCCCTTTATTCAATTAATCTCTTTTAGTCAACAAATTAATTCCTAATTAATTTATGACTAATACTAATCAAATAAATATGATTTCTCCTTTAATATATTATTCTTATAATATATTAATAAGGGAAAATGACTTGTAAGGGTAATGATGTTTTACCCGTGTTCACATTATACCATTAATGTTTTTTTTAACAAAAAATACCATTAAAGTGTATTTCCTGTGCATATTTTACCATTGGTAACCAGATACATTAGGTATCCCGCTATTTTTTTTATTTTAAAAAAAATTATGTGGAAAATACGTGGCTCACCCCTCTCTCAATTAAACACCCTCACCCTCAATTAAACACTCTCAAAGCACGATTTCTTCGTCACTCTTCAAGACTGTAGCAGCTTTCTCTAATCCATGGCTTCCTCCTCTACGTACACCTCCAGCACCAGATCAAAGAAAATCAAGTCAAAATCGAAACTTGATTTTGCAAATCCCTGTGATTGTGTCTACCCTTCTCGTATCTGGACTTCAACGACCAAAGATAATCCTGGAAAAGAGTTTAGAGTTTGCCCTAATTCAACGGTATGTCGGGTTTAATCTATATGTAGTAAGGTATTTTCAATAATTTTCGTATATTTGTTTTAGGATAACCCAAAAATTAAATGCAAATTTTGGGAATGGGTTAATGAAGAAGATACAATCAACAAGAAGAAAAGAGATGAAGTGGGAGCACAATCCTGTGAAGTAAGGGCACAATCTTGTGAAGTGAGGATTGCAATTACGGACCATGATTTAAATATTTACAAAAAGAAGACAGATGAAGAATTTGATAAGATAATTAGAAAAATTAGCAGTCTCAAAACATATGTAATTGTGTTGTTTATGTTGTTTGTAGTATCACTTTTAAGGGAATAAATGTCAAATTGTAATCGGATATTATGGTTGTTTTGCTGAATATGATTGAATGAACATGTTTTGCTGAATATGATTGAATGAACATGTTTTGCTTAAGTTTGAATATGATTTAATCTTAAGTACAAACAACATTGAATGAGCATTCATGCATTGTCTTGTTAGGGTAATAATGTGCAGAATGTTACCCCTGTACAAACAACTTTGCAGAATTTTACCTCTTAATGTGCAGAAGGGCATAATGGTCAAAATGAAGGAATCCTAAGAGCATAATGGTAAAAAAGAATCTTATGTAAAAGCAACTTTGCAAACAACTTTGCAGAATCTTGTGTTTGAATATGATTTAATGTGAATAATGGTAAAAAATAATATGAAGGACATGGTTTGCTTAAGTTTGAATATGATTTAATCTTAAGTACAAACAACATTGAATGAGCATTCATGCATTTTCTTGTTAGGGTAATAATGTCCAGAATGTTACCCCTGTACAAACAACTTTGCAGAATTTTACCTCTTAATGTGCAGAAGGGCATAATGGTCAAAACGAAGGAATCCTAAGAGCATAATGGTCAAAAAGAATCTTATGTAAAAGCAACTTTGCAGAATCTTGTGTTTGAAGATGATTTAATGTGAATAATGGTAAAAAATAATATGAAGGGCATAATGGTCAAAAACAAGGAATCATATGTAAAACCAACATTGAACGATGTAGATTATATTTAAAGGGTAATAACAAAGAAAAGCACAGTTTTTAATGTGCATATTTACATCAAAAGACAAGCATAGTTTTTAGCAAAAGACAAGCATAGTAATTTCTGCCTTAAACAAACAAAAGCACAGTTTTTAATGTGCAAATTTACATCAAAGGGAATCATTCCAGTGTAACAGGTTTATTCACACTTAAACCACATCCATCCTTGGTGATGACCACCCTCCTTAATGCCACTTCAGTGATCCTCTCTTAGTATTTCCTTTTCCTCTTCAATGGTTGTGCTCTTTGTTCAACTTCAACAACGGGTTGTGCAGCAGGTTCCTCAACAACAGGTCCATGAACTTGTTTCTGATCAGGTTCATGAACTTGTTCCTGATCAGTTTCAATAACAGCTTCAACAACAGGTTCAACAACAGCTTCAACAACAGGTTCAATAGCAGCTTCAACAACTTGTTCATCAACTTGTCCCTGATCAGGTTCATCACCATCTTCAGCCAGCTCTTCAATCTCAGATTCAGACTCAGATTCATACTCATCTTCATCTTCAGCCATCTCTTCAATCTCAAATTTAGACTCATCCTCAACATCAGGAACATGTTTACCCTTCTTCTTTTTGGCTTTAGTACTTGGTCCTACATTAAAATTTATAATGCATTAATAGATAATACTTATATTTTTTTTTGTAAATGAATGATACTTAATATGAAAAAAAAACCTTCTTTGGACAGTGGACATGTTATTTTGTTGTGTCCTGGTTCTCTACAGATGTTGCATTTTGTAATAGCCCCTTTCTTGCTAATAGTATGATGACCTTCTTTTTCTGAAGCAGCCTTCTTCCTGTTGACTTTAGGTCTGCCAGGTAATCTTTTACGTTTCGGGGGCAACATAGGTTGACCTTCCCAAGATGGCCACATTTCACTTCCATTTAAAGGATTAATTGTATACTTATAGCAATTTCCAAACATTTCTGTTATGAACCAAGTTGCCACATAGTCTTCCACATTCTCATTTAGATAACTAATAGCAGCCATGGCCTGTATACATGGTATACCGCTTAGTTGCCATCCTTTACATGCACATGTTCTTTGGTTCAAGTACACAGCATAAACTTCATGTATTGACCTCACCTCAAATTGTTGCACTCCACTGGGAATTACATACCAATACCTATAAAATAATGGAATATAGTATAAAATTAGTACTTGGGAATTACATGCCAATACCTATAAAATAAAATATATATACCTTAGATGTTTCCTCTTGTCCACTATTTTCTTTCTAAAATATATATACCTTAGATGTTTCCTCTTGCCCCTTCAATCTTTTACAATACATCCTATCCATCACAAACCTCCTAATTTCCTCTAACATTGTTATAATCGGCTTTTTCCTAGCATGCACAATTACAGCATTAAAAGATTCACAAATACCATTCTCAATGGCATCACAAGACCTGTCCAATACAAAAAAATCCCTAGACCAGGATTTTGGATCTCTTTCCATCAAGTGATCATATGCTTGTATATCAATCACCCTAATCTCTTTCATTATACCTTCAAACCTCTGCACAGTTGTGGCCTTTGCAGCCCTCCAAAAAAGCTTCCTATATGCAGCACCCTTAAATTTTTTCTTGAAATTAGCATAGACGTGCCTAGCACATTGCCTATGCTTAGCATCTGGTACTCTTTCTTTAACATCCTCAATAAGACCCTAAACATGCAAGATAAACATAACATTAAGATAAATAAAATGGTAACCAATTAAAAAACAGTTAGGATAAATACCTTGTGTTGGTCAGAAAGTAAGGTTAATCCTGCCCATTTCCCATGTTAATGTCCTTAAGTAGTAAGTTTAGAAACCACTTCCAAGTTTCTTTGTTCTCAACTGCAATTACTGCCCAAGCAATGGGGTAAATATGGTTGTTAGTGTCTCTACCTACAGCTGAAAGAAGCTCACCTCTGCAAATACCTTTTAAAAAGCAACCATCTACACCTATAACCCTCCTGCATCCTTCAATCCAACCATCCTTTACACCTTTGATACAAACATACATCCTAGAAAAATAAATTGTGGAATCAGGCATTGTATCCGTCCCAATTTTCACTGTTGACCCTGGATTGGCTCTTAATATCTCAGCTCCATAACTCCATAATTTTTCATAATGTGTGTTCAAACTGCCTTCGATCTCATTAAGTGCAAACTTCTTTGCATTCCTGCATTGTCCAACACTAACCTTCACATTGAAAATTTCCCTAACTTTATCCCTCATTTCCCTACAACTCATTTTGGGATTTTCTAAAATATCATTAACAAAATGTTTCCCTATCCATGAGTAAGTAACAACTGACCCAAACTTGAAGGTTCTAGCACAGTTATGCTCATTATGTAAGGACTTAATTTGGAATAACTTTTCACTGCTCATCCAAGTAGCCCATAGTCTAAAAGGACATGCTGCCTTTCCTTCACTAGTTTTACAACACCTGACTAGCAACCTAGTTTTATCATTTTTTTCATACCAAAGGTTAAAACCGTTTGCTACTACATAGTTTGAGACAAGCTGTTTAAGTTCTTGAGGGTTACAAAACCTCATACCAAGGATGGGTTGCATTGTATCCCATTTCTGAGTTGAGTCATGAAAAGGATAAATTGGGGCTTCTTTGGTTCCATTATCTGAATCATCATCCTCATCAACAAAATCATCTCTAGGGACAACACTAATATAGTTAAGAAAGGGATCATCAGATTTAGTCAATGGTATTACCTCTTCATCGGGTTCATGATCAACAGATAGAGCATCAGACATGACCGAGTCTTTATCTTCATCAGAGCTTTCACTATCAACACTTTTTTCTTCCTTTTCTTCCTCTATCCAGTCAAGCACCGAATCGTTGTAGTGATCAATATATACATTAATCTTTCCCTCGTTACCATGTGCAGCATCAAGAAACCTCCTGTAGTCATCATTGTTTTTCAGTGGTGTCAACCCATCACGCATTGACTTATGCCCAAGACAGTAGTAGACAACAGGACACTTCCCCTTTGTGACATCCTCAAGAACATAAATGAACTCCTTGAAATTTAATCCACCAAAATCGACATCTGTAATTGACGTTTTTTGATTCAGGTAGTATATAAGATGAGGAATGGGGGAAAACATTCCATCGTAATGAACATCTACTTGAATGTAAGTTGATCCTTTTGCATTAGATGGACCAGCCATGATCGATCTCAAACAAAACTTCGACTGAGAAAAACCTACACAACGATCTTGGTATGAGGGTGTTTAATCGTGCTTTGAGAGTGTTTAATTGAGGGTGAGGGTGTTTAATGGAGAGAGGGGTGAGCCACGTATTTTCCGCATAATTTTTTTTAAATAAATAAAATACCGGGATACCTATTGTATGCGGTTACCAATGGTAAAATATGTACAGAAAACACATTTTAATGGTATTTTTTGTTAAAAAAACGTTAATGGTATAATGTGAACACGAGTAAAACATCATTACCCTTACAAGTCATTTTCCCCCTATTAATAAACCATAATATCCTCTCCCCCTCTCCTTAAATTACCTTGTCTAGTTGCTTTGGTGAAGGCAACCCAAAAGGACCATGCACAACCGGGTTAAGTACATACCAAATATAGTTACGGGCATAAACACTAATCCAATAGTTAGTTGGTATGAGTTTTAGAATATAAGCAACCGTTTCTAGAGCATAAACCCAGAAACTAATTGGAAGTGTAGCACGAGTCATCATAGAACGGAACATGTCAATCAAGGTTTGATTTATCCTCTCACACATATTATTGTGTTATTGTGTTCTTGGTGTCTAAGATGACCGTAGAAGTCATCACTAAGATACTATCTGCCTCTATCAGAAAAAATTATCTTGATTTTCTTGCCAAGTTGGTTCTCTACTTCAGTTTGGAATTTCTTGAATATTTCAAATGTCTCAGACTTATGTTTAATCAAATAAACATATCCATATCAAAAAAGATCATCAGTAAAATGTGACAAAGTGTCTTTCACCATGCCTAGTTTTGTGTCTGAATGGACCACATACATTCAAGTGGATGATGTCCAACAAATTTTTTCCTCTCTCACAGTTGCCTATGAAATGAGACTCTGACATCTTCCCAAGTAGACAATATTCACAATCTCCATTAAACTCTAGGTTAAATCTTTTGAAGATTCCATCAAATTGGAGCGCAATGATTCTATTCTTGTTTATATTGACAAGGAAACAATGTCGTAGACATGATTTATCCAAGGTAGACAAACTCACATTTAAGATTAAGTTATTGTTTTTACTTACATCAATCACAGATTCATATATGCAATTGCAAGGATTTGCTTTATAATAACAAGTATTATCTTCCTAAAACAAAATACTAGCATTATTATTATCGAATCCAAATATAAGATCATTACACCACAATGTAAAAAAAAATAATGTTTCTTGTCATGTCAGGTGAATAGGAACAATCTTCTAAACTAATTGAAAAACTAAAAGATAATGAGAGCTCATAATCTCCAATCTTGGTAACAACCACTCTGCTCTTGCTCCCCATGATCAAATCAAGCTCTCCATAGCTTCCTACTTCATTTTAGCCCCTTTACATCAGAACAAATATGGGTTCCACATCCTATGTAAAGTATCTAATTATTAGAAGTGGATGCAGAACGTAATTACATATTAAACATATGTATAGTGTCAATACCCTTAGCCTTGCTCTTCTTTAGATCTTCTAGATACTTAGGGAAACTTCATTTCCAATGACCTTTCTCTTAGCAGTAGTAGCAAATGGCTTCCTTATGGTCATTCACTTGAGGTATGTCAGAAATATCTTCTTAGGATTGGAATTGGGAGCACCCACTTTCCCTTTCCCTTTACCCTTAACATTGGGATAAAAGGAACTTTTCCTCTTGACACTACCTTCCCTAATATCTAGAATAGGAGTGGTTGAACTTGTGTTCCTAGGTGTAACAATGCTTTCTTCATTGTGTTTTAGCATCCAATGAAGCTACATAATAATATTCTCCATACCATTCATGTAGTAGTTCATAGTGAACTACTTGTATGCACTATTTAGAGAGATAAGAATGAAGTCAATAGCCAACTCTTAAGTTAATGAAGCTACATAATAATATTCTCCATACCATTCATGTAGTAGTTCATAGTGAACTACTTGTATGTACTATTCAGAGAGATAAGAATGAAGTCAATGCTTTCTCCGGTTGTCTGTGATGGGTTTTGAGCGTTCTAACACTCCTAAGGTGTACATGCAATCCTAGAAACCTTGGATCTATTTTTTCTCTATTATACATCCAAACTTTCATTTTTCCAAGGTTTCATCCTAACTAGCATACTATGAAGTATATGTAATACAAAAATATAGTAGAATAACATACCTTTTCTTGTATCTTGATTCCTTAAACCTTTAAGAGCCTAGCACCCCAAGTGTGATGCCTCAAATGCTTCATACAACACCACCAACAATTGGAATAACTTGAGAGAAGTTTATCTGCACTCAAAATCGCAAGCCCTCTTTCCTTTCACTTAAGTGCGGATTTTGGTAGCTATGGGGTCCTTTATATAGTGTGACACAACTAGGGTTACACCATGCAAACCCTAATGTGCATGACTTTCCACATTCCTCATGCTCCATGGGTTTAACCTCCATGGAGTATCCATGGGTCACCACATGGGTTTAGCCCAACATAAAGGATTATGGATCATAAGCCCACTTTATAATAATGAATGATTTACACAATCAATCTCCATTTATTTAATTAGTTTCTTTTGGTCACAAAATTAATTCCAAATTAATTCTTGATCAATACTAATTAAATAATATGATTTCATATTAATATATTAGAACTTATAATATATTAATAAATCACATATATCCTCTACTCAAAAGTACATCCTTGCAAATTGTTTCAGTGCCATGCAACCCAAATAGACCATGCTACTCTTGGGTCAAGTACATACGAATTATAGTTATGGGCTTAGACACTAAATCCAACAGTCTCCCACTTGGATAAGTCTAATAACTATAACTTCATGTACGACTTAAAACACCGACTAAGAATCGTAGCTCTTAAAAGCCTTTGTCGAAGTGAGATGCTCCATTTTTAGATAAGTGATCATATAATCCTCTGTTCTCAAGATATCAGCTGGACAAATACATGGAACAAGCTCATACTTATTGTCCGACAGTTTGTTTCTCTATTTTTTATTTGTTTGACATAGAACTTAATCGAACAAATCAATTTATTTCTGACCGGGCCAAATACATAAGTCAGAAAAAAATCATCGAGGGGCCCAAGATATCGCTTTTAATCCTCCAAGGACTAAAAGGAACAGATAAACTTCAACTCATATGCTTGTACTAACTATTCATAAAATAGTACACAATAGCACGTTTTATAGCATCAAGTTATTGAAGCGATTTCGTACTATCAATGCACAACCAACTTATAGTCAACAACTCATATCTCTTGGTTTGAAGACTTATATGATATTATCATCTCACAATCACTCGAGATAAATTCCATGAAGTGATTCACATGAGCGCGGGTTTAATCCAATACTCAGACCTTATGAGCACTCATGAATGTTGCAACAAACTTTGCTATGTCTAATACCATTCAGAAAAATCTACAAGCCAGATTAATGATAGTCTTCATTCAATACTTACTTCCAACGTATGATCGACGGTTGATAGTTTGAATAATACAATATAATGCAATATAATATAATTATTCTGGAGTCAAAACGTGCAAAGTGAAACAACAGTAAATGATTGACATAAGATAGTACCATACTAGTAAATAAAAGTACCTTTTAGTTAAGCATCAAATGTCAATTACATTTCAACTCTTACAAGTTTCGAAAGCTATCAAATCACTAATATCTTTCTTTAGCCCAATGCACCTCGTATGCTGTAAATGCTTAACCCTACTTTCGTGAGGGGATCTGATGGGTTCTCATCCGATGATACCCTCTTTGCCACAAGGAGTCCTTCTTCTATTCGATGTCTAATGAAGTGGTATTTTCTGTCGATGTGTCTGGATCTGCCATGATCCCTTGGTTATTGCTCCTCCATTCAGGGTAAAGACCCAGCCCGACTGAGAGTGGCAATTATCTCGGCCGGTCTGAAAGTTTGCGTCACTCCCACTGAGGGTAAGGACCCAGTCCCTAGTCCTACGCAGGTACTTGAGAATGTTCTTTACCGCAGTCCAGTGTGTCTTGCCAGGATTCCCTTGATATTTGCTAACCATGCTCGAAGAAAAGGCCACATCAGGGCGAGTACAAGTCAAAGCATATATGATCGAGCCAACAAAAGAAGCATATGGAATTCAACTCATCTCAGCTATCTCAGCCTCTGTACTCGGACTCTGAGTTTTACTCAGTTTGGCATTTTGATGGATTGGTAAGTCACCTTTCTGGGAATCCTGCATGTTGAATGTTTTCAACACCTTATCCAAGTAGGTACTTTGACTAAGTCAAATTAGTTTTTTACTCCTATCTCTCAATATCCTTATCCCAAGAATATAGGCACCTTCCCCAAGGTCCTTCATAGCGAAACACTTCCCAAGCCAGGCCTTAACCTCCTGCAAGGTTGGGATGTCGTTTCCTATGAGAAGTATGTCATCCACATAAAATACCAGATTCCTTGACTTTCTCATCAAAACAAAGATTCCATCTGCGAGATGCTTTTTTCAATCCATAGATTGATTTCTCAAGCTTACACACTCTATTAGGGTACTTTTCATTAAATAAAACCCTCTAGATGACTCATGTAAACATCCTCAGCCAACTTTCCATTAAGGAAAGTGGTTTTGACATCCATTTGCCATATTTCATAATCATGAAATGCAGCAATAGTTAGCACAACCCTAATACACTTAATCTTCGCTACTGGCGAGAAGGTCTCATCATAATCAACTCCCGGAGTTTGAATAAAACCCTTCACAACCAGTCGCACCTTATAAGTGTGTACATTCCCATCCATGTCGGTCTTCTTCTTGAATATCCATTTGCACCTGACTGTCTTAGGACCCATTACATTGTCAACCAAGTTCCAAACTTGATTTTCATACATGGACTGAATCTCGCTGTCCATCGCCTCTTTCCATTTAGCAAACTCAGGGCCTGCCATGGCTTCCTTGTAGTTATTTGGTTCATCCAAATTTATCAGTATGTTGTCACCGA